TAGTGAGAACTGCCGGTGTAAAATGAACCCGCCTCTCCCCTGTATTTTTCTTGCACGGAGTGGAAAGTAAACACTGTCTGGCTTTGAAGCACGGCTACTATTTTGACAGGTTCCTCTCCAAAAAGTGCTGCTCGGGTTTCTCTTTAGCCACATTGTGCCGTCTAAACGGAGTTAGGTTTTTATTTGGTAAGCGAAATGAAAAATGTGTCTGCCTTTCTCCCGTTATTTGGCAGGAACGTAGCAAATAATACCCATTTTGCTTTTGCATTTCTTCCTTCCAGCGAGTCCTTTGGTCAGGAGGGGTTGCTGGCGTGGCAGCCCCGGGGCTGTAAATCCTCTGTTAATCCACACTCCGGCAGGTGCAACGCGAATTCCCTCCCCTGCTCTCCCAGTACATTTCCACTGCCGCAACGAGGGGAGAACAGAGGTTATTCCCTCGGACCCATCCGGTCCACGGCCTCTCTGCTGAGGCTGCGTGCAGGTCTGCTGCCGGCTGACACAATAAACCGGTTCGTTTCTTAAAAGTCATTGCTCCGATCGCCGCACGGCTTGCGCAGGTTCAGCCTGTGGGCCAGAGTCTGAAAAACCGCCTGTCTCGCCTCCGCTTCCATCAGCCACCCACACTTTGGTTTAAGGGCAGCATCCGTCCCCCTCTGAAAATTAATAGACGTTTTAGCGTGGACTTCTGTGGGAGAATGACCTAACGGAGTGAGTAAGAACTGTTGAAGTATTTTGCTTGGCACTACAAGTCGTACTTTTATAGGGTATTTGTCCTGTTTACCCGAGAGGAATAAATCCAGTAGAAGTTCAAAGCCATTTAGGAAATACTGATTTTTAGCTGAGTGTCTACATAGTTAAGGGTTATGTCCCTGGCTTTCCGTAGGCAACACTGGTCATCTTTCCTACTCCATTTACTTATGCTCAACACACTGCTTAAGTTTTATAGCTTTGGGTTTTTTTCAGCCCCGCACAGTACGAGCACAACCAGTTACTGTCGCCGAAAGGGCAAATCAGATCAAGGTCCACTTTAAAGCACTGCCGGTAGTGTTGCTGTCAAACATGCTTTGAAGCTGAATCCCTCCAGGAGATGCTCTTGTCGGTGATGGGTGACGCACGGCTGGGTTTGGAGGTCCCCATGTCTCCTGAAAGGTGTCTGAGCAGCATTCGGGGTTACTCCCTTCTGCTGCTCCTGCAGGTCCTCACCCTAAAGCGCTGGTCCAGGAGGACACATCGGCGGCTGCAGTCTCCAGCGAGTCCCCTGCCTTCAGTGGGACTGGTCCTGCAGCCATGCTAACTTCATGTCCAGGGCCCAAACCTCTTTTTTTATACAACCTACGGGATTCAGATTTCCTTAACGTATGGAGACCTTAGCCTACAGTTGGCCAAAAAGTGGCCGCTGTTCTCCCTTTGGCTCGGAGTTGTTTGCAGGTCTGGTCCAGGTCGTCACCGCGGGGGTGTGCCCCAGGGGAACTTGCTCAGCACAGCATCCCTGATGCCTCGTCTCACACGGAGTTTTCCTTTCTTTCTAAAAAATGCCAGAACAAACTGGGAAGAAGACAAGGGGTAAGAAAAGTGACCTGAGAAGGAAAGGAAGAGATGGTAGAAAAAATAGTCCCGAGAAGAAAGAGAAAAGGAAATCAGTCAACGAAACTGTATTGGGACAACTGGGTAAGTCTGATTTTATGGGCGCAGAGTTGACCCGTGCCGCTGGAGGTTCCCTGTTTTGGGGAGCGGGGTTAAGAGTCCCAGCCCCTGATCCCTCCTGCACGTACACCCGAAGCCGTGGGAGCCTCTTCCATCTCTCCCTTGTGGCCATCAGCCTGAATTACTGAGGTCCTAAGGGAGAGATGGCCTCGGAGCCGTGGTCCCTGGTGGGGCAGGGGGTGTAAAATCCGCCCACCCCACCCCCCGCAGCCCCCGGGCTTGCGCCCCAATTGGGAGAATGCGTTACAAACCCTGTGCTGATGTGCTGCTGAAGCGTGATTTTACTTTCCGGTGATAAAATCAGACTTACCCACCCGGCAGTAGGGCTGATCCCCCGTGTCTTCTGTGCTGTGCACCGGCGGTGAATACAGCACACGGCATTTTCATGGCATATACTGTCCAGGACCCGTGCGGTCGTGCCGGTGGTCCAGGAGCATCCAGAAGGCAAGCACAAAGCACGGCTCATCTCTTGAGTTTGCTCGGGGGCTGAGGAGATGCAGGCTGGCTCTGAGGATGCTTCACCCACCGCCGGCTCTTCCCCATCAGCTGCTCGGCAGCAGATGGGGCTGGGGGGGACGGGAAGGGGGGAAGGAAAGAAAACCAGAACACAAAAAGTCTGTCTTTGACATGAGCCTTGACAACTGCATATGTTTTTTTACACGGAATTGGGTTTTTGTCCGACTTCCTCCAGCGCTGTCACCTCCGCCAGCATGTGGGGCTGGAGGTGATGAGTTCACGCGTGCTCAGCTGCCCCGCGGCTGCACCGGTCCCACGGGGCTCTCAGACAGTCTGGGGGTGCTCTAAAAGCCTCCGGGGGTTACAGAGAGTTTCTGTGGGAGGTTTGGGGGTCTGGGCCACCCTGCCTTGCTCTGCTTTGCCCATTGCTCGCCCCAACCCTGCCGCTTTCTGTTCATCTCAAAGCTGTTCGGTTTTAGGCAGGAGCCCCTTTGGAAATGGGGCTTTTGCACTCATCGTCTCTCTGTGCTGTTCTCGGCTAAAGAAACTTTGGATTTTCCGGGGCAAATTCCGTCAAGTGATGGAGGGCTGAGGCGTCTCCGAGAAAAGCTGCGCTGCTGCGAGCCTGGGGAACCAGGCAGCCGACCCAAAGCTTCACCGGGGTCTTGTCACCTCTTGGGTGTTACAAAAGGACTTGAAGCATCGCTTGGGGCTGCAGTCATCAGAGAAGGGCTGGGGGAAGGCGACCTTGGCAGTGACCTTGCTGGCAAGACCTCGGGCTGTTTGGTGCCTGGGTACCACGTGATGCCCTAAGCTCATCCCTGCTCCCGCTTCCCCTCCCCTGCACTGGGCTGCTGCCGGGGTGGGAGCCCGTCTTCTCCAAAAGGGTCACGGTGACCTGCCAGGGGGTGAGGGACTGCCACCATGGCAGTGTCACCTCCGAGGGAGAACCCAACCTGACGGACCTCCTGTCGCCCTTGAGCAGCCCTGGCATTGCGCGGGGTGTTCTGTTTGCCCCCCCCTGCGGTGGTCGCGCATCCACGCAGCGTGGAGGTGAGGGTGATGCAAAGCTGTCATCGAGACCAGGAAACATTGCGGACACGAGCCACCCTGCGCGTCCCACTGCTCTTTTCCTCTTTCTGTTGCTCGACTGAGCGCTTTAAAAGGAAAGCTATTACCAGAAAGCAAAAAAAAAAAAAAAAAACAAACCGAGTTTTTCCTCCATCCACAAAACCAGCTCTGGCGTTGAACCTGTGGGTTGCTGTTACGGGGATTAAAAGTGCCTGTGCTTGTGCAGGTATGCGCCGTTCCAGTTGCTAATTAGACCCAGCCCAGCCCACAATGCTTGCTTTCACTCTCAGATATAATTATTAGGAAGTTTTTCAGCTTTTTCCATTCCAGCCTGTCATCTCTGCACCTTTTCTTCAGTTTTCACACCTCTCCGAGTATTGAGAGATGTTCCCAGACCTGCCTCCCGCCCTCCCTGCCTTTAGCGCCGGTCCCATCACCACACTGACCACGGGGCTTGGGAACCTGTCACCCCCTGGCCTGGGCATAAGTCCTGCTCTGGTAGCAATCACTGAATTTTGGGGTTCACACCTGGATTGTCTGTCCTGCGGCCTTTGCGTGGGAACGTGTTTCCCACCCACGCTGGGGCGGGTTGGGGCTTGGCATCTTCGCTGCAGAAAGATGCTCCGTTTCGATTCGGGGAGGTTGACGGAGTGTTGGATGTGGGGAATCATTCGGGTTGTGCTGTGACCTCGGTGGACCCCAAATTCAGCGTTTAGTGCTGGAGTAAACCCTCTTCTGTGCCCTGCTGTGGTGCGTGATGGTTGATCTTTTGAGCGTTTCTCTGGCGCCGGGGAGTTTTGGTGAAGTTGGTGGTGGTGTCAAAGGGCAGCGCGGCTGTTCCTGACTTCTGAGGCAATCTTCCCCTTTTGTTTTTTTCCAGGCTTGTCAACCTCCTTCCCCATCGACGGGACCTTCTTCAACAGCTGGTTGGCGCAGTCGGTCCAGATCACCGCCGAGAACATGGCCATGAGCGAGTGGTCCCTCAACAACGCCCACCACGAGGACAGCACCCCCGGCCTCTCCGAGGAGCTCCTCCAGGACGAGGAGACCTTGCTGAGCTTCATGATGGACCATTCCCTCAGGTCCCCGTTCAAGCAGAGCGAGGCCACAAAGAGAGTGAAAAGCAAAACGAGAACGAACACTAAGAAAAAGCTGCCCAGGAGCAGCCCCCCCGCCGTGGGTGGGAGCCACCCGGAGAGCTCCGAGCCCTGGACTAACAACGCCAGCGACTTGTCGGATGATGCCACCAAGCCCTTCGCTCCCGATTCCAGACCGAGCAAGTCGGAGAAAGGGGTGGCCAAGCTGCCCGCCGACCGCAAAGGGACGGGCGAGGCGAAAAAGGCGGCCAAGAAGGGCTCTCTCCCGAAAGCCGGTGAGTCTCACCCCCCGGCCGGGGCGAGGGGCTGCGTCAGCAAGGAGGAGGAGGAAGAAGAGGAGGAGGAGGAGGAGGAGACGCCGCGCTGCGCTCAGCCGGAGCCCAGCCCGGCGGCCAAAGTGCCTGACTCCGTAGGTAGCCCCAAAACCGTCGTGCGGTTCAAATTACCAAAGGAGAGCCGAGGGACTCGGCGGTCACAGCCCCCCAGGCCCGACGGCGCCGGCGGAGCTCCCTTGCGTCGTTTCGAGGCCGAGACGGACGGCTACTTCTCCGACGCAGAGATGAGCGACTCGGACGGAGAGTCCCGCGGCGGCAGGGCGCAGCGGGGCCAGCTGGATGCGGCCGGCGAGGACATCGTCAGGATGAGCATCCTGGCATCCTAACTCCTCCCCGCCGCCCTGGCTCGACGAGGCCTCAACCCAGTTACAACTGCCATGTCCAATTCCTGCCTGGTATCACAGCAAGGGGGATTTTTAATTATGTGTATATAGTTGGAAATTCGGCACTGTTGTCTTTCTCTTCTCTATACGCCTGAGATCCAGCTTCAGCTTCACCGACATCGATGACCGTGACAGTAGTGGTCCCTTCCCGGCTCCCCGACATACCCCGCTTCCCGGGAACGCCAGCCGGCACCCGGCGGGACCAATGCCGAGGGTGCCGAGAGGGCGGAAGGTGCCGGTACCCGTGCTTTCTGCAGGGATGACAGTTTAATTAATGGGCATTATTTAACGAGGGGCAGATTTCTGCCCGGGACGGTTGCCCCCGGAGCAGGGAGCGAGCGGAGGGTACGGTAGCGGCCAGCTGCGGGAGGGGAAATAAGCACCCGCCTGTGCGCGCGTATACGAGGGAGCAAAATAAGTGATACTAAAATAAATAATGACTAAAGCACAAAAAGCTTGTTGGAGGAAAGCGCTTGGGGTGGAAGAGAGCAACGTTAACGTTTCTATTTTTTGGGGAAAAAAAAAAAGAAGCAGCCTCGGTCATTGTTTTTCCCCTCACCTTTCCATCCGGTCGGGATCCGTCCCAGGGCCAGGATGCAAAATTTCTCCCCGTCCCTGCCCCGTGGGATGCGGCCGGCGTTCGGCCCCGCTGAGGTCCTCAGCAAAACTGAAGTGATGTACTCAGGTGAATCGATGAGCTCTTGGCAAGCTGGGAAATGGAAACATGGGGCAGGACGGAGGAGAAAAGCATCCTTGAAAAACATCGCCAGGAGCCGGGGGTGGTTTAACCCGGGAGGTTGAGCCAAGTTTTTCTGCCCACCCGTCTCTCCCGTGGTCCCGCCGTGCCGGGGCGGCACCTTTGAAATCCCCTTGACACCACGAAACGCTCGGCCCCGAGGGCAGACGTACCCGTCACCGAGGGGAAATGGAAACGCTTGCCTTCACCATTTTGTTTTCCTACTAAACGCTACAATGGAAATGGTGAATTTATTCCTCCCCATCCTTTTTTTTTTTTTAATAATTATTCTTAAATCCTGGTTACAAGCTGTTGACTTGTTGTGGGAGGGTGATTCACAGAAGCTGACATTATAAATATTACAATAATTTAATGCATAAAATGTCCCCAATAAGCCTTAAATGTTGTTTAAAAGCCCATGTTACCTACAAGTCAGGCGAATTTCCATGTTTGCACTTAATTGCACCATTACTTCGGTTTTGGCTTCAAAGGTCACAGTTAAGTCGTGCTACGTGTTTTATTGGAGTGACCCCAGTGTGAGCTCAGGGAACAAAAAAAAAAAAAAGGAATTCACTGAAACTTTTGTTGTTGTTGTTTTTTAAAAATAAAAAATGTTTAAAAAAAAAAAAACTAAAAAAAAAAAACCAAACCTGGGACACTTCTGCAACCGGTTAAACCCATCACTAAACAAAAAAACCTTGCAATTGTCAAACCAATCAGTCAAATAATTTTGTGGATGCCAAAGAATATTTTGACAGTCAAGCAGCACAGCCAGAAACCGGAAACTTGTCACTATGAAAAAAAAATTGGAAGTTATTTAGCAACAAAGGACTAAAGACACACTCATAACACACTGCTGCGGCATTAGGTTCCAAGCTTGCTCCGAGGGATGCTGCTGCTCCGAGACCGCATCCCGCCGTTTTGATTTCCGATGCTTTTTGCTCATTTCACTGTGAGCTTTCTTTTGAAACTCTGAGACTCCTCCGATTGACGTTTTAGAGTAGGTCATCTTTATCAGCCTTCCAAAGTCCTTATTAGTGATAAAATTGCAGCGAAGATCAGCGGTGACAGCCCAGCTCACCCCAGGCATGGCGAGCGGCGGGGGCTTCGGCTCGGCCGCCCCCACCCAGCCCTGGCCGAGCCCGACATGAACCCGGCTGAGACTGAGCGTGCCTGGGGGAGGAATCTTCCTCAGATGGGAAAAATGCTACACGAGTTATTAGCAGGAAAATAAAACAAAACAAAACAAAACAAAAAAAAACCAACCAACCAACAACAGAAAAATCGACAAAATGGGAACCACCTTTGTTATAAATTAGCGTAATCCGTTGAGGTTGGAAATGAAAATCTGCTCATTAATTAAGGCTCAGTATGTTCAGATAATGTTAAATACAGTAAATAGGACTTAGTTTATCTTATCAGGCTTGCTAGCTTTAGCTACAGTATCCTAGTATAAGAGTCATAACAATAATCAATATGCTGCCTTTTAATGAATCTTGCTTCCGTGTGCTTCACTCAATTATGGTTAAAAAAAAAAAGCAATCCACAAATTTCACTGTACACAGCTCCATTCATCAGCTTCTGCACTACTTGTCTTCTCAGTACAGGAAAGCAAAAAGGGGGGAGACTTTTAAAGAACAACCAACCCGGCGCCGCCAGCAGCGGGCAATAAACCAGTTTGAAACGCTCCCGAAACATCAGGCGGCGTATTTGGCCATGGGGGGGAAAGCTAAAGGGTGCCGGTGGGGCATGTCAAACCCGGGGAGAAGGAGCAGGGGTGGAATAAGAGAGGAGAAAACCCTCCCTGGGAGGAAAGGGGCTCTCACGAGGGCTGGACCGCAGTGGGACGGCTGCAGCCACCCCAGAGCATCCCCTGCCCGGCGTGTCCTTGCCGTCACCTCGCCTCGGAGCGGGGAACCCGGCGTTCAGGAGAGAAAAATGCACAAGGCAAATATTTTTTGATGTTACTGTAAATGTATTTTGAACCGAATAGAAAGAAAAAAAAAATAATAAAAGGGTTTATTTTAGTAGAGAAATGTTGTCTTTTAAGATGTATAAACTGCAGGAATCGACATTTGCACTGTAAGAGCGGCGGTTTCCCTGGGGAAGCAGCAGCCGCGGTTGTTGAGATGAGGATGCAAATAGCATCACGCCCTGATGGTGGAACACAGCCCCAACACCAACCCCAGCCCCGACGGCTGCCGGGTTTCCCGAGGGCAGCTCCTATTCCACACACCCATCTTCCCCACACCCAATTTTTAATTATTTTTTTTCGCTCGCGCCGATGTTAGGGAGTTTGGATGTCTGCTGTCCCACGGAGCTCACGCCAAGGCCGGGGGGACAGAACAGAGCCGGGATGCGGGATGCGGGATGCGGGAGCAGCCGCCAGCGGGAAGATGCTGCTGCAGGGCAGGGCGTGAGGTTTGGTTGTTCTTTAAGGAAATTTCCTCCCCCCCCCGCGGTTTGCGCCATTCCACATACAAAACAGACCCACTTCACATCAGTTACAGGAAACGATATGAATGTCGCAGGAGGAGAAACCCTTCTGTTTTCTTTGTTTCAAAGAACGTGATGTGCCATTTGTTAATATAAAAGAGAAATATTGAAAATATATTGAAAAGAGCAATTTTAAATTATTTTTGGCTTATGTTGCAATATTTATTTTCTTGTATTAGAAATTCCTTTGTAGAGAAAAAATGTATTTTTCATTAATGCAAAAACCTATTTCTCCTTTTTGTACATTTTCCATGTTAGTTAATCCTTAAAGCAATATAATGTTATCAAACTCGTTCTGTGTGAGACTGTATTATGCATGCTATTTGTGTTGCCTTGGAATAGCTCTGTCTGCCATTATTTTCATCCTGTTTAGATACAGTGTATGCTTTAATACACATTGGGACCATGGCCCATTGCTTATGAAAAAAAAAAAAAAACAAAACCCTTTGCATTCCTCAATGTGTTGGCAAATGCAGTCAATAAAGCAGTGTTTTCTGTGTACCTCCGTGTCGGTGCAGTGAGCAAGGTCACACACAGAAAATCTACCCGGGGACCAGAACGGACCGTCAGAGCCTCCCCCTCTGCTCTGCCCTGGGGAGGCCACATATGGAGCACTGGGTCCAGTTCGGGGCTCCCCGGGTCAAGAAGGACAGGGAACTGCTGGAGAGGGTGCAGCAAAGGGCTACAGAGATGATGAGGGGACTGGAGTGTCTTTATCATGAGGAAAGGCTGAGGGACGTGGGGCTTTTTAGTCTGGAGAAGACTGAGGGGGAATCTTATCCATACTTATAAATCCCCAAAGGGAGGGTGCCGGGGGATGGGAACAGTCTGTTTCCAGTGGTGCCCAGTGACAGGACAAGAGGGAACGGGCACAAACGTGACCATGGGCAGTTCCATCTTCCTGCAGTCCTGTTCAAGTGCTTCACCCTCTGGCACCGCAAAAACTGGCTGCCCAGAGAGGTGGGGGAGTCTCCCCCTCTGGAGCCATCCCAAACCCGCCTGGACGCCGTCCTGTGCCACTGCTGGAGGTGCCCCTGCTCTGGCGGGGGGGGGGATGGGGGAGCTCCAGAGGGCCCTTCCCACCCTCACCAGTCTGGGATTCGGTGACTTCATTTCAGCACATACTGGAGCTGGGTGGTGGGGTTGGGTGCCGGGAACCCCCCCGGCAAGGTGTGGGACCTGTTGATGTGTGGCCACTTCATCTGGGTGGGCAGTTAGTCATCGAGGAGTCGTTGGCCATCAGCTTTTTTGTGTTACCTCTCTGCCATTCCCTAGCACATTTTTTTTTCCTGCAAAAATTGACCAAGTGCCCAAGCTGCTGAAGGGAGATGAGCTATTTAATAGACATACTTTGTTCAATTTAATACCAAAGTGATTAATCAGGGAAATCACAGTGCACAGTGAAGACAGCACTAAACCCATCGATCTGAGATGGGTCTTCGGGGCAGGGAGGGGAGAAGGAGAGAAGGAAATCCACCTTTAAACTACCGTGGCCTTATATTTCGCTCTTAAATTAAAAGGCAAAGGATCAGTTTATTGCAAACTAAGGATTTTATTACTGGGCTGTGTTATTGCTCGCAGTGCCCGAGGCACCCCAGTGATGAACTGGAACTCCTGGCTGGTGCACGGAGCCCCACGGCGCAGGCGTGATGCCCGCAGCGTCATGTGTGAACCTGTCTGGTCAGAGCCAGTCCAAGAGCCATCTTCTGTA